ATGCTGGCTCAGCGCGTCAACACTAATTCCCTTCTTCTCCGCCCAGGAGAGGTAATCAATAAGCACCCCGCGGCCTGCGATGCCTTTCTTCGCCCAGTACCCAATTCCAATGCGATTGCAGTTTGGATCCTGAATCTCCTCTGCGGTTGTCCCGCCGTAGAACAGCTTCCGGTCCGCATTTTCGGAAGTTGGCGCAGGAGCGTTGTGATGCCGGAACCCGTCCCATTGAGACGATTGCTGCGGGTTAAAATGATACTCGTCATCGAAAGCGACACCTGGAGCGACCCATTGAACCTTGTGTTCGAACGCTTTGCGGCCGAATCCTGGCACATATGTAAGTAAACAGGATCTGTCGTGAGAACTGAACTACAGGCGGCACGGATCTGTACATGTCCATGATCCTGCGATGGAGATCTCTAGCACATACCAGGAGGATCCAGCTTCTCTAAATCCCAGTTCAAGCAGACGCGCTCTCCCGTCTGGATCTGTGTCCGCGCAGCGTCGGCCACAACCTCCGGCGTCAAGAGCCGGAGCATTCCCAATCCTTCCTCTGCGGATCCTGCTGCGGCCGGCCAGAACCGTCGCTTGTCGGGAAGATCGTCATAATTTTCGGGTAGTTCGCTGATTCCTGACATTGCGCGTAGAAGGTAGAGGAGGCTCAGAGCAAACTGCGTTTTATATACAGATGTGCGGGGTTGATTTCCGACACGGCAAGTACCGTAATTACGTGATATTTATAGACTTGCTTATTCGAACAAAAGGTTATTGAAAGATAAGATTGTGCAGTCTTGCTGGATGGACGTTAACACTTCAGCATGATTCAAGGAAAGCAATAAAGCCGAAAGCTGGCATTGGAAGCGAGTCTGGCATATAGCTGCGGTGGAGGAGTGTCGGAGCAACTCCGCTCTGACGGGGGATGATCATTCCCCCCAACTGCCAATTATCGTACGAACGGTTAAAGACAATGCCTATCTCTAAGAATAGGATATACTAGCTCGAAGATGCATGAGCATCGAAAATTCATCTAAGGAAAACAGCCGTCATTAACCGGACCTTCGGGATGTCCCTGGGTAATTATGTATTCGAACAGAAACCTAACCCTAATGACAAATACACTAAGTATACAGAATATCATCTTCAAAGGTCGTCCATGTCCTCATCGGCTGATGTTCTTGCCTTTCCCTTCTTACTTAGATCAGACAACTCGTATTGCTCGCCAGAGCGCCCCGAACCAGCCGACATCGCGATGGCCTGCCGCCCGGTATCGGAAGACTCAAGAAACTCACGCAGTCGCTTCTTGCCCTCCATAAGCGCCTGGCTCGAAGCGGCTTCAGTCATCTTGATGATCGGGCCCCAGAGGTTCAGCTGATAAGTGACATAGGCGCCCACGGCACAGACAAACAGGAGGAAGAAATAGGCCGGGTTACGAAGCACTAAAAGAATTGTCAACCCATCCGCCCAACTGGTTTCATTTGGAAGCTCCACTATAGAAAACTTACCTGCAATGATTTCGTTCCATCCCAGGGCAAGGAGAAGACCGTAGAAGTACAAAGGTACCTGAGTCATGCCGCCAATAGCGCTTCTCTTAGCCTCGACATAAACTCCGTCGGCGGCTTTCTTGAATCTGACAGTGAGCTCTTGACGCTTAGCCTCACTGAGAATCGTCATCTCTTCGTCCAAGCTCTTGCCCTCTTCCTCATCGACACCGCCGATGGGTGGTAAATCTTCCTCATCCGCGGGGGTGGCAGAGCTTGGAGTGTGACCTATCCAGCGATCAAGAGGGGGCGGGGCCGACGTCTCTGCCAGGCGGAAGCGCGAAAGAAGGGGAATCAAAGTCAGGGTTGATTCGCGTGCGCGGGTATAGATGCCTTCAATATCATCGGTTGGTCGCCAGATCCTGGGTACCCCAGCATCATCATAACGGAATTTGTCCTCAAAGTTCTCACGCAGTTTCAGCAAAAAATTACCCTCAGTCATCTCTTCATCGATCTTGGCGCGCAAGACACCCCAGGACTTCCTCCGGAGCCTCCAGAGACCGACATCCACTTCCTCTAAACTGGCATCAAAGCTGCTGGCGCGGTCCGTGAACCTACGCTCGGCATCAAGCACCGTCTCCACGAAAACGTTCCACACACGATCCCAGAAAGCCTTCTCAAGAGGCTTCTCGCCTGTTTCCGGAGCACCTCCTCCTGCGCGTCCAGATCCCAAAGCGTTGAACTCAACCCCGATCGACTCTCCCAGACGGGACTGAACCCATCTTTCAACGCGATTCGCCAAACGACGCATTTCCTCTCTGCGTAATCTTCCGCTAACCTCCGCTAGTTCCTTTTCATACAAGGCCATTTCTTGCTTATAGTCACTCCAAGTGGTGCCTTCCACCACAGTTGAGCGCGCCACATCTTCAAACTTAGCCATGGCTTTCTTCACCTCTTCATTGACAATTTCAGCAAAGTCGTAACCTGTACCCTGCTTTTGTCCTGACTTCACAGCGGAGGAGACTGCCTCGCTGAATTCGTTGATACCCAACTTGTGTGCGGCATTAAGTTGACCTTGTAGAAGAGCTTTCAGGCGGGTATCGACTTTGTTTTCAAGCTCCGCCCGCTTGCGCTGGTAGACACCTTTGTGATACCTGCTGGCTTCTGTCTCGAAGTTCTTGACAGCTTTGGCCCGTGATGATCGCATCGCAGCACCCAAACCGCCAAGCACCTCCGGCTCACCAAGACGCGTGGCTTGTGACTGCTTCTCCTCAAATGGAAGAATAGCTTCATCAAAAGCTATCATCACTTCTCTCAAGATCTCGTCGCACCGGAATTGTGCGAGTAGCTCCTGTTGCGTAGGCAGGTCGAGATCCTTGTTATTCACGATCTGGTCCCAAATGCCCTCTGCATATCGCGAAAACCCGTCCGCGGGAATCCGCCGATGATATTCCGGAAGGAAGACTCCTCCCTCGGAGAACTCGCCTCTCCGCGCATCCATACTGGGGTCTCTTTGGCCTTCGCGGAATCGCAAACTAAGCTTCTTAGTCTCGGTGACAAATTGCTCGGGTTGGTAGCTTTTGTGAGGAAGTCCATAGAATTGAAAATCGAAATAATCATGAACACTGGAGTTTTCAAGGCCAGGAGGCTTCGAGATAGACTCCCAGAGGCGAGACATGTCTTCCATCAATGTCTTCTGTAGATTTTTAAGAGGCGTCGTGCCAACAAAATCACGGATCACAAAGAAGAGAAGTGATCGGTGAGTGGTGCTGCATTGCCAAAGGAATCAGTAAAATAGTCGCATGGGTTTAGAAGACCGGGGTCAGGTCAAACTGAACGTATGACCAGAACACATACTTCTTGTCCTTAAGGAACAGCTGCAGATTGACCTCGAAGACTGTCTTCAACAGACCCATATTCGCGCCCTGGTACAGGCCGACCTGATGTTCCCATATATTCACAATAAGCACCTCACTCGTAGCAAGGGCGAACAGAGCACTTTTGCGCTCAAAGTCCTGGTCTTCTCCTCTCTCACGACCGTCCGTTCCTTCAACATCCATGACGAGAATGTTATCCGCCATGCGCAGAGTTTGGTCCGGGCCGGCGCCCCCTTCATTCTTGTTCTTCGACATCCAGATACCCTTGGTTGTCTGACGTCGCTCCGAATCGGACATGACGGAGAAGTGCGTGCCAAAGAGATGGTTAAGCAGCGTAGACTTGCCAGTCGACTGCGAACCAAAGACGGAAATGAGATGATAGTTGAAACCAGCAGGAGTGACATTTTCGAGGCTCAGATATTTTGAAATATTGGGACTGTGAGTTGTGGACTGTTAGCTCATTGACTCCCTCACTGGCACTCTCACCTAGTCAAACAGATATTGAATCAAACAGCTTGAGTCTGCCAGAGCACGAAGAAGAAACGTACTTGAACTCCTTATTCTCGTCTATTACTTGCACACCATGTTCGTACGCTGTCTTGTCATTGTCGACGCCAATCAAGGCGAAATGACCATTGGTCGCCATGGTGAACAGAATAGTACGAAGTCAGCCGCCCGGAGATGAAGAAATGACGGAGACGCAGTCAATTCCTTTGACAAAGTCGAGATTTTCGTTGTTGCGAAAATCAAGAAGGTGCGACAGAGTACCACAGACCACTGAGCGGCGGCTGGGGAATCGTCAAGATGCGGAGACCGTGGCGAGTTGTAATGACGAGCAATGTTGCTTGTGGGATAAGCGATTGCAGATGATGTAAATATCCATGCAAGGGAAATTAAAAGAGGAAGAATGGACTCGACAATCACAAGACTCTCCGCGCGGGCTCTCGTGCGATGTTCAAACAAACTAAGCCCCGAGGTAAGAGAGGGTCACTGGTGTTCGGCCAGTGTTATGATCCTGTGGCCAGAAGGGGCGCTCGTCACTCGTCACTTTTGGGGGGCCATCGCCGCCTGAGTGCAAGCTCGAGATAAGCCCCCTTTTTTGGCCTAGTGTTGGTGTCACCTCCTAGGTAGTTGCACCGCCATCAGTACACTTGCGAGTCTCGCCACTTTCACACGATTTCTTTCGTACGAAATTGACTTATTTGACTGTTGCCGCTGTCTATGGGAATTGAGTTGTTCAAAGAAATCTTCCACAAAGATGGAAACTTCAGTGGGACAACCGCGGTTCTTTAGATATATGAATGAGAGGTACATGTCCGTTTTCGATCTTAGAACTACATTCACACCAAAAGGCACCTACTCGGAGCCGGATTCTCAATTTGCCCATAGCCATCATTTATTCATATCTAGGAAATAGAATAGAGGAGGAGAGATATAACAGAATCCAACTACATGCTTTCAAGACAATAAAGTTACATGGACATTGACTCAAAAACGCCGGCGCAAACCTTCCTGATAGATACCTTTGCCGTTTCCCGCGCTGCAAGAAGGTGCGAGCAAAAGGACATTGAAAGTATATTTTTTTTTCTTATAATACAGAGCAGCCAGTCAGTCGGTCATGCCTCGTGCTTATCTGCGAACCGGCCCTTTACTCGGTCATGACACGTGTGATCAGACCAGTAGCGACAGTGCGGCCACCCTCACGAATGTTGAAGCGCTGACCAGCCTCAGCAGCAACAGGGTGGTGGGTCTTCAGGACCATCTCAACGTTGTCACCAGGCATGACTCTGCGAGATTCGTCGCCGTCAGGGAAGCTGAGGTCAGCAGCCTCATCTGATGAACCGTTAGTCTATATCTCCGAGAAGATCTGGACACGTCACGTCGAACTTACCCGCAGTACGGATGAAGACCTGAGGACGGTAGTTGGCACCGAAGCCAGTACGACGACCACCCTCGGCCTCGGTCAGGACGTACATGGAGACGAGGAACTTGTCGTGAGCCTTGGTGCTGCCGGGAACAGCAATGACCATACCACGCTTGACATCTTCACGGCGGATACCACGCAGGAGGAGACCAGAGTTGTCACCAGCACGCGACTCGTCACAACTCTTCTTGAAGGTTTCAATGTCGGTGACTTTGGTCTTCTTGGGCTCGAAAGAGCCTCCGACAATCTCAACCTCAGAGTCCTTCTTCAAGATACCACGCTCCACACGACCGGAAGCGACGGTACCACGGCCAGCGATAGAGAACACTTCCTCGACAGACATCAAGAAAGGCTTGTCAAGGTCACGCTGAGGAGTGGGGATCCAGGTGTCAACGGCGTTCATGAGTTCCTCAATTCTGTCTTTACCAATGTCGTTACGGCGTCCTTCGAGAGCACAGAGAGCGGAACCGAAAATGATTGGAGTCTCTTCACCCTCGAAACCGTAGCTGCTCAGCAGCTCACGCATCTCGAGCTCGACAAGCTCCAACATCTCCGGGTCATCGATAGCATCGACCTTGTTGACGAAAACAACGATCTTTTGGACACCGACCTGGCGGGCGAGCAGCAAATGCTCACGAGTCTGGGGCCTATTCGAGGAAGCGTAAGCGACTCGTTTACCAATATGCATCAAGATATTCCACCTACATCTGACCGTCAGAGGCAGCAACGACGACAATAGCGCCGTCCATGTTAGCAGCACCAGTAATCATGTTCTTGATGTAATCGGCGTGACCGGGGCAGTCGACGTGGGCGTAGTGTCGGGAGTCCGTCGAGAACTCAATGTGAGCAGTGGAGATGGTGATACCGCGCTTGCGCTCCTCAGGAGCCTTGTCAATGGCACCATATTCAAGGAAGTTGGCAAGGCCCTTCTCCGACTGGTGCTTGGTGATAGCAGCGGTCAAGGTGGTCTAAAGAATGTGTGAGCAATGCACAAGACAGGTGCGGGAAGGTCGGAAGCGTGAAGGGAGTTTCGGAGCTACCTTGCCGTGATCGACGTGGCCAATGGTACCTATACAAGATTGTTAGTGGAAGAGGTCAGTCCAAATGAAAAATTATTCCTTACCAATGTTAACGTGAGGCTTAGTGCGCTCAAAGGCACTGGCCAGCCCACGAGCAGCTAGTTTGTTGTTGCCAAATACATGTTGCACAGGGTTGATGGCGCGAGGGCGCAGCAAAGAAGCCTTGCTGGAGCGCAGCAGAAGGTTTGCGGTTCTGGAGATGCTCGACATGATGACTGCCCCAGACTAGAACGACAGACAAAAAGAGACAAGAGCAAACACGATGGGAAGGAGGAATGGAGCCGGACTGATGGTCGAGAAGTTCTCCATCAGACCCCGAAAAATTTAGGGGAGACTGCTTAGTCATAATTCGCCCAATCACAAGTGCGGAATTGCGGAGGTTGCGCAACAGTGGAATTCAAGATATCTACCTAAAGTACGGAGTACCTTGATCGTGCCACAAGACACGACGTTAACAGCAGGCAAAAACATATATAAATCGCAATAATGGTCATCTACTCAGGCTTTCTCAACTCCTAATATAATGGACAGAAGAGTCAAGTAGGACTTATATGGTGGAGTAAGCATCCAATTGCCAAGCTGATATGGTCAATCTACTCCGTAGAACCTAAGTAACCTTATGGTCCAAGTTAGACTTGAAGTAATGGAGTGTTACTATACATGTCATTTTGCTGAGGGTTTTCAATGTTTATGTACGCCAAATACAACTTAGGGAACCTCAAGCTGGCGAAGACATGTCAATTGTCCTTCTTTTTCACAAATAAGGTGACATGTTTGCCCGGTTCCCCCTCCATGGGCTTGATCTGCATCGCATCCGCTTCCTTCGTAGCTTGCAACACACTATCCATAACGTTCTTGATCTCTTCCACAGTGGGTGCCCGTTTGCCCTTTTTCCGCGTCAGGATGATCTCCACGCGTCGACCTTTGTCCAGGAAGTTTGTCAATTGCTTCAAGCGGTGTGTCAGATCATGACTATCAATGGCCCAATTCAACTCAATCTGCTTCACTGCTGTCTTAGTGGCATGAGCAGCTTTGGCTTTAGCTCGCTCGTGCTCACGCATGGCCATTTTGTTCACAAGTTTGCAGATTGGTGGTCGGTCAGGAAGGGCCGGGGACACTTGTATGAGGAAGTGTTCAGAGCGATCGAAAGAGCGTAGCACATCTCTTAGCTTCATGGCAGGCTCAAGGTCACCATTTTCGTTGACAATTTGTATATACTCCGACCGAATATCTTCATCTCTGACCTGTTTCTGTTTCGATTGTTGTGAGGGAAGTTGGCGAGAAGACTGAAGGAACCTCAATTGCGTTCCTCGTAAAGCATAACTGTAGCGTAGAAACTGGACACGGGTGGTCTGGAAAGGGGACAGGAAGGTATGGCGAAGTGCTTGGGTTATCGATATTAAGCCGCGTGTGTGCTTCATGTCGTCTATTCGTCGTATGGCAGGGCGATTTCGGTGCCAGGAAGCGAAAGAACACCTGGGATCACCCAAGATTCGTATATTCAAGGGAATGGAAAATATGTGCGACTTATTTTGATTGTTAGGTGAAAACAAAGAGTGATTGGTGTAGATAAGGAGCAGATAACTCCATTGAAGTTGATCCCACGACTGTTCTATCCACTGGACGCATGCAGGAAGCCAAGCCACAGCAGATGTGGAACAACCGCCACAGCGAGTGGGTCTATTGCCATCGTTTCAAGGGTCTCGTCTCCATCTTGGACTTTCCTCTCCCCTGACTTTCCGCCATATTTCTGACATCGATCTTATTTCATCTCATCCTCCACGATCTCGTTTGGGCTCGTTCGGAGGCGTCTGATGATTCGATGATCCTCACTCGTTTTAGTTGTTAATTAGTCTCTCATTCTCATTCCCAGCCCCGTCGAAAAAGCACTTAGACCGTTTCTTTGTGGACGCCGCTTGAGTTTGTCCATTTGGCCTTGCTCGCATGTCGACAGGAGTTGACAGTCGACATCTGCAAACTACGGTATCCTATATACATTCAGAAGCGAGTCCCTATCGACGATCCAACTCGCAGACTCCCCAAGCTGCGGAACTTGAGGAAAGTCCGCAAAAATCGTCGAAGAAGCGACGCTATTCAGTACTAGCAAAAATGGCACAGACTCAGAGATCCCGTTATTTAAAGACGGGCGCCATTGTGGCAGCCTTGTTGTTGATGTTACTCTGGATTTCTCCGTCAAGGCCAATGCGCCCGAGCTTTCCTGAAGGTCAGTTCAATTGCCCCTTTCACAACTTACTGATCAGGATAACTCATTATGTACTCAGAACGACCAAGCACCAGTGCTCCCACCAAAGAAAAGTGTTTAAAGCCCCACGATCCCAAAAAGCCATTGATTCAGTATGCTCTTATGATCGATGCCGGAAGCCAAGGATCTCGAATTCACGTCTATCGATTTAACAACTGCGGCCCCTCCCCCGAACTTGAAGACGAAGTGTTTTTCCAGACTGAGCCGAAGAAGGGCGGCTCCGGGCTGAGTTCTTACAAGGAGGATGCTGAAGGAGCAGCCAAAAGCCTTGATCCTCTTATGGAGGTTGCAATGAAGAATGTTCCTGATGAGTACAAGTCTTGCTCGCCAATCGCTGTAAAGGCGACAGCCGGATTGCGCATGCTTGGCCCGGAGATGAGCCAGAAGATTCTAGACGCGGTACGAACTCGCCTCGAGACTGTTTACCCGTTCCCTGTGGTTTCCAAAGAGAAGGGAGGCGTGGAAATCATGGATGGCTCTGACGAGGGTGTCTATGCCTGGATCACAACGAACTACCTTCTCGGAAAGATTGGCGGTCCTGACGAAACACCTACTGCCGCAGTCTTTGACCTTGGTGGAGGTTCTACGCAAATTGTTTTCCAGCCCACATTTCCGAAGAGCAAGTCAGGCGGCATGCCGGAGCGCTTGGCCGAAGGTGATCACAGGTACGATCTCCAATTCGGTGGCCGACATTTCGAGCTGTATCAGCATTCTCACCTCGGCTACGGTCTTATGGCTGCGCGCAAAGCCGTTCACAAATCCATCATTGAGAGTATGCTTGCGTCCAGTCCCAAAGACTTGTCCTGGGTTAAGCAGCCAATCCCTAACCCTTGTATCGGGCCCGGAATGGAGAAGAATGTCACTTTGGAATTTCCGGAAGGACACAAGCTCGCTCCGGAAGTGCAGGTTACAATGGCTGGCCCAAAGGTCGGGTCTACCGCTCCTCAATGTCGTGGTCTTGCAGAGAAGACTCTGAACAAGGAGGCTGCATGCACCCTTGCTCCTTGCTCCTTCAACGGCGTCCACCAGCCGTCGCTTGGGAAGACGTTTGCCAGGGAAGACGTATACATCTTCTCTTACTTTTACGACCGTACCAAGCCTCTGGGCATGCCTGAATCGTTCACATTGGATGAATTGCATCAGCTGACGTCGACCGTTTGTGGTGGCGAAGATAGCTGGGGTATCTTTGCAGGCATCGAAGGCGCCCTGAAAGAGCTGCGTGATCGGCCTGAGTGGTGCTTGGATTTGAACTTCATGATGAGTCTGCTCCACACTGGCTATGAAATGCCCCTGACTCGAGAGGTCAAGATTGCCAAGAAGATTAAGAACAGAGAACTTGGATGGTGTCTCGGTGCAAGGTAAGATAAGGACGAAACGGGAAATGTTTACTGTATATGCTAACGTCTCTCCCTTCAGTCTGCCCCTTTTGAGCCAAGAATCTGGCTGGACTTGCCGTATCAAGGAAATCTCATAATGGATGATGCTGCTATGTCATGCTTTAATTACTTAATTGCCATGGATTCATTGGCCCTATTTCTGCTTCTTCCTTCGTGCAAATATATTAGACCATTGACTGTCGTTGATCGCCTGATTCTTGATGTACTAGACCACTGATTGTTGTTCTTTGCGGGCGACTGCTCTCCGGTTCACAGAACCGTACCAGAATATTATACCTGTGACTGTGCATAAGAAATGACTTACTGATTGTTAGATTAATTCAGAAGAATTGACTTCTACATCAAATGAATGAGCAGAAAAAAATGTTTTTTGTTCCAAGGACATAGATGGAGCCAACTGAATTTGGTAACGTGGTGTCAAAACTGAAAAATCCGTCAACGCCAGGCCTATGCAATGTTCTAAGAAGATCGTGGCTCAGTCAAATCTTGAATCGTGGGCTTCTGATCCGAAGATTTCTCCTTGCCCATCAGTTTATCCAGAATATCGGAGTCTTTCTGCAATCCAACATCCAATTCTGCGGCATCTTCATCGTTTGCAGATTCTGGACCGTCGCGGAGCTCTTCATCAGTAGAGCTACAGCCGTCAGCACGTTTCTCTTCCAAAACGCCTAGTCCGAGGTTCTTGAGACGGCATTGTCAGCATTCATGTTCTCAATCATAACCAGAAAGAATCGACTCAGCCCACCATTTCAATGTACTGGCCCTCCTCCTGGTTCTCCACTTCGTCTAGTTGTAGATCTTTGCCTCTCCCCGCGGCTATCTCTCGCTGTAGATCCTCATTGGCACTCTTCATCTTCGGCAGAAATGCAGAAAGTCGGGAGAGAAGATCCGGTTCCCTAGTCACGCGGTGTATCCGAGGTTTCTGTTGCGCCGAAATGCGCGGTAGCGAAGAACCCGCGCGGGATGCCTGGTCGGAACTATAATCGGCTTCTTGATCCTCATCTCCATCGCTGTCGCTGTCGCCATCGGAGCCAGAGGAGGAAGTGTAATCATCATCATCATCATCATCATCGTTCTCCTCACTTTCGCTAGATGTGGAGGCTATCTTGCGGGGGTTCTCCGGCTTCTTTGCTCCGTCGTGCTCTGCAGCGGATGAATTCGTTGGTAGGTCCTTATCGTCATTGCGATAAGTGGGGACAATTCTGGCTCTGGTTCGTTTAGAGGGCGATGTCTCGTCGAAGGAAGATAGGGATTGGGGCTCGTCAGCTCGTAGGCGCTTCCTGACACCGTCCTCCATTCTGTGTCGTTCGTCGTCGTTGGTTGGTTCTGCAGAATTCTTCCCCAAATTCTTACCCGCTTAAACACCTGGAGGGTGTTTCGCGCCAGGCGGTGGGGATCGAATCAGCACCACCGTGCCGGAATCAGACGATGTGATGAAATTCGATCGCGTGCAGAATTGCAGGCGCCATGTGGAATATGGGTCATGGAAGAGAAAGAGTGAAGATCATTCGGTCACCTAAGGAAAGAAACATGGTGGCATCTCGGTGACCTGGTTAGAGCTGCACTCCTGCAGCCATCAAAAGTGGGCAGAGCACAAACGAATGTGAAACGGGGCCCCTAGTTCTTCATGATGGTGACTGCTAATATTATTAAGTCAGATATCTGACGATGAGCCTCAGCAGCTGGTGATAAGTAATTCCTTTAATTGACTGTTTACCAACCCCGCTTTCCCCTACGGAATCAGCTCTGCTTGATCTTTCTTCAAGACTTGGTTCTTTATCCAGGTCTTCGTGATTTCATTGCTTGTTTCAGTATTCTCAGTTTCTCCAGAAGATATCCAATTCATTTTTTTTCAAGGTGGGTAGGATTATATTTTTCATAGTCTTTGTATCAGGTACGTTCTTTCAATTGTATCGCATATCCTTTAACATGGCGCTTACTTTACCCCAACTATCCTCAATCATACCCCACACACCCAATCTCAGTCCTTTATATAGTTTGTGATTCAGATAGCTTCAGACTTAGGCTCCTTGGGCGACTTTTCGTCTTGCATATCTTTACAAGGAGCTATTCTCTTCAATGACGTGCTAACTTCAAGGTACAGGAGATTCGCTTCTCAAACGTACTACACTATACCCGCCTCAGATAGTCTGGGTGGAGGGGCTCTTCCATGAAGAACCATTCCCGGTCGTTTCAGTCTATCCTGATGACAAAGAGCTAAAGTATCTCCCAGGGGAATTAACACGCTTCTTGGATAATAGCTCCGCTCAATCAGCCGTGACAACTCATCCGAACTCCAGCACCTCAAGATGAGCGTGCCCAAACTACACGTCGACGACCAAAGCCCTATAAGAGACGAAAGCTCTCCAACACAAAAAGCAACGGAGTGCTCATCCTCTTCAACGCGAAAGTCGCTGCATCAGAACATCCTCGGAAAACTACGCCCACTGCCGCTCCAATACCACTGGACAGTATGGTATGACAAGCACTCAGAATCCACCGACTATGACAACCGATTGTATGTCTTGCATGAGGATGTAGCCGACATTGCCACTTTCTATCGTGTCTACAACAACTATCCTTGGGATAAGATCCGCCTACGAGACTCAGTCCATATCTTCCGGAAGGGCGTCCGTCCGGTGTGGGAGGACCCAGAGAACATCAAGGGCGGTTGCTGGAAATTTCGGGTCCCCAAGAGCAAAGCTCAAGAGTTCTTCCACGAGATTGCCATTCTTTGTATGGCAAACGAATTCCAGGCTGCTTTGGAGAAAGGCGCGTGATCCGCTTCTCGGTGTTCGCGAGCATCCGGGGAATTCAAGCTGACTGCTTTCCGTAGAACATGACCATGTCCTTGGTGTTTCCACCTCTGTCCGTTTCAACTCCCATATGATCTCCGTGTGGAACAAAATGGGCACGAACGAACGCTCTATCAAACTCCTCGAGCAAACCATTATCGACCGTCTATCGCCTGAGCTGCGGCCCGCCAGTTCAGGTAGCAGCTCGTATTTCTATAAACGACACGATGAGAATGATGGGTATCAGGAAGCTGTGGCAGCGACTTCTTATTGATCGGCTACGTCCCATAGATCCCGATCTGACCTCCGACCGCTTTCTGCAGCGCATATAAGACGTGTAATCTTTATTCTCTTCATTTCCAGCGTGATACTGAAGAGTTCCTTCGGTCGACAACCGTTTGATGCTCCTCAAACGTCTTGAACGGGACAGCAGTATTGCCGGTCGTTCATTGCTGTTGATCGTTATTACCATTAGGTTGTTTATTATAGATGACCAGAATGTAGGGTAGTATACATGATATAAGATGCAATAGAGACGAGATGCTCTCGATAGGTCATCACGCTGGACGGAAAGGGATGAGCATCTAACGACTTCTGCTTCTCCTTTGACCGGTGCTAAGTTTCCGTACCCCGCGGTCATCCGCTCCGCGATCAGGAAGCTCTGCGCCTTTATCTTTCCTTTCTTCGCTTTCCTTTTCTTTATGTATCTCTTTCTCTTTCTCTCCGTCTCGAGCCTTTTCACGTTCCCGCTCGCTGCCGGGTATGTACCGATCAATCTCCACGAACCCTCGACGGTCATCTCGCTCAGGACGTTCTGGAGATCGGACCCGCCTTCGAGGGGATCTGCTCCGATGGCTCGTTGGGGGCACATAGCGGTCGATGTCAAGAGTGCTGGGGGAACGCCGTCGCGAGCGAGACGGTTTTCGAGAGGAATTCGGAACGCGAGACTTGGATCTTCCCCGCTCGCCGTTACGGTCTCCTTCTCGGAGCCGGCCCCGGTCTTGTTCTTTGTCTCCGTCTCGGTGCCGTTCTTGATCACGATTTCGCTCTCGATCTCGGTCTCGATCTCGAGTTCGATCTTGGTTTCGATCTCTGGCGCGGGAGGCAGAGCGGGATCGTCCGCGTCGAGCTCGTGAACGAGACCGAGAATAGTAACTGCGACGTCGATGATCCCGATCCCTTTCGCGTTCTCTGTCCCTGTCCCTGTCACGCTCTCTATCCCTGTCTCTATCTCGATCTCGATCCCTGCTGCGATCGCGAGTGCGATGATCACGATCTCGGTCCCGTTCATCCGCTGGACGCGAGCGATCTCGAGCTCGATCTTTCTCCCGTTCAGCACTTCGGTCTCGACCCCTGCTGCGGTCCCTGTCCCGGTCATACCCACGACCAGCTGACCTGCTCCTACTTCTGCGGTTAGGGCGGTAGCTACGGTCTCCATATCGATTAGCTCTGAAATCGCGTATGGCAACTCTATCATCAGGGTTACGATCACGCGGGCGACTAGAAGCATCGCGGGATCGATCCCGTCGACGATCATCGTCGAAACGAGAGGTGTATCTTCTCCGTGAGCGGCTGCGATCCCGGCTGCCTTCACGTCGATGCGCGCGATGACGGTCATCAACAGTCGAGTCTCGTCTTCGGAGTTGATCCACATCGACAGACGGACTGGCGGACTTCAATGGAGTAATAGAATATCTCGATTCTGTTGCACCTTTTGGTTTAGTTGGCGGGGGCTTAAGGCCATTCTCGATGGCCTCGGCTTCTTCAAAATCAAATTCAGGTTTCTGTCGCGCCTTAGCGGCAAGTTCCTCGCCTTCTTTAAGCAGCAGTTGGAGAGCGGCCTCTTCCAACGACTTATCATCCACGGCAACAGGAGGTGGCGGAGGTGGCGGAGGTGCCTGCGTTGGCTCCTTCGGAGTAGCGGACTTCTCTCTCCTCGAATCGCGATACCGCGGTGATCGGTAGCCTATTGAGCGAGCGCGGTCACGGTCGCGCTCTCGATCCCTGTCTCTGTCTCTATCTCTGTCCCTGGTTCGACTGCGATCACGGTCCCTAGATCGATCCCAGTCACGGTATCTTTCGCGCTCTTCTCGTCTCCGGCGCTCATATCTTTCCTGTCGCTCCTTTTCTCGTTGCTCTTCAAGTCGCCGTTCCTCTTCCCGCTGACGCTCACGCTCTGCACGTCGCTGTTCCTCGCGTTCTTTCCGCCTTGCCCTTTCTTCCTCCTCCTTCTGGCGTTCGATCTCGCGCTTCTTGCGTTCCTCTTCGGCCTTTCGACGAGCTTCTTGCTCTTCAAGTTCTCTCTGTTTGCGCACCGTCTCCTGCCATTCTCGTTCGCGTATCTCGCGTTTAGCTTTTATCTGCGCAGCGAAATCCTCGTCTGTTTTATTGCCGGCTTGCTCCTCTTTCGCAGCGAGCTCGTCTCCGACTTGCTGACGGCGAATATCCCTGACAGAATCTAAGATGAACTGCAGGTGATTTGAGGCCAGCGCATCAATAAGCTTTTCGGCTTTCTTGTAGACGTCGCTCCGATCGACTGCACCCTCTATCAATGTCGCAGCTTTTCCTCGTTCACGGGAAAGAAGCTCCGGTTCGCGGTCTATTTCCGACTCTGCTAGTTCGATCAATAACTTCGTAAACTCCGCTCTTGCTTCCTACATGAGAGATTCGGCAGTTAGAGAATGTGTCGATAATTTCAAGATCGATCTGAAACATACTCCGTCATGAAATTCAGCCCAGATTTTCTTGCGAACATTATCAAAACCTCCTTTCTTCTTAAAAGCGTGCAGTAGGTCCTCGATCGCAGTGTGTTGGGCCGTGGTCAACGGCAGCTCTTCCGTCTTAAACTTCTTCCGCTGTAGACTTTCGACATCGAGCAAGGGCCGTTTGACACCAGTGGGTTGGACATCTGACATCTCATCTGGACCAGCCATTATGAGATAATCAGATTAACAAATTGGAAAGCACGTAACCAGGCGCCGCCGAGCGGCATTCGAAACTGGTTTGGATGAAGTGAAGCGCGTCGCAAATTAATGTTGGCATACCTCTTTGTTGCAGCGATTCTAACTATTTCCTGATTTAGTGAAAGTCGGCGCCGAGCTCGGGGGAACAATGATCCGGGGCAGATTGCGAACTGCGGCTCGGTGATTCGGCGGGCCTGAGTAAGAGAGAGGAGGAAAGCAACCTCATCTTGAACGATTGTCCGCTGAACGTGACCCATTGTGTCTCTGTCCGGGCCCGAACCTAGAAGCAATTGTCCTCATTCAACCACAACGGCTTCTCCGGGTCACAGTTTGCGTTAGCGACCCCTCCCTATCTCAATCCGCCCAGTCCGCATCCACTACAAACACAATGGTTCACAAAGTCCTCTTCTGGGGCGGTTTCGGTATGTGCCCAGCCGGGAATGATATCTCCTTCAAGACGAGGAACCTGGCAATTGGATCCCCCGATTTCTGTCGGCATTTGTCAAACCGGTGAGACCATCTTTTAACTTCTCTCTTCA